ACTGCAAACGGGCAGTGTGCGCGTGCGCACACCGGCCCGTTCGGCAGTTGTCGAACAAGCAGGCCACTAACCCGCCGAGAATCGTACGATTCCCGTCGGGTTTTCCAGCCTGCTTATTCGACGGAAGACGTGCGACCGTACAGTAGAAACGGTCGCACGCCTTCCATACACTTTGCAATTATCGTACGATCACGGGATTTCTCGTACGATAATCGTGCAGTGTATGGGCACCTTTTAGTCTGGTGATCCTGCTGACCACCAGGGATTTATTTTACTGTTACTGTTCTCTTACCCCATGGGACACAGATGGAAAAAAAAGTTAACATGGGTTATTCTATCCAAAACTCAAAAAAAATTTGTTCTGGCTTCAGTTCAACTTTAACTTTCTCGGGAATGTCTCCAGTAGGAAGATGATGTCTTTCTCCTCTGGGTGGAAGCCAGGGATAAGGTGTTGGAAAGCTGCTGCAGATATGACACTTCCCATGCAAGATGGTGCTGGACACATGGAGGAGGCCTTCTTGTTTTATTGGAAAAAACAGGAACACTGAGGCAGTAAATTCCATCCAAGATGGAGAGGGAACATTACATTATATAAGCATTGATCATAACACTGCCACCTAGTGGCAGAACTACTAATCACAGTCATATACTCTATATGAGGATGAATGTTGCACCTATATCTGTATAAACAGCATGCTAACCAAAGGTAAGAATATTATCTACCCTTCCCCTACAGGTTTGTTTTTTTTTAGCAGAGGAGGTGGGGCACACTAGAAAGGGGACCCTGCTATTTAGGTGCGAGGTCTGCTTTATGGTAGAATGCTGTGTTACAATTCACGATAAGTCAGGTATTGCAGGACATCTGTCCAGTCGTCTCAGAGATAAGGTTCACTAGGAGGAAGTGATATATTTTGTAGGTAATCCTGATCCCCGGTAGTGAATTGGTGAAATGGATATATCCCTCCAAATAGAGATGAGCAAGTCATGGAAAATGTGCTCCACTGCTGATGGAAGGCTGTGCTTCCTTTTTAGGTGCTATGCAATGATGTCACACAGGGAGAGCAGATTTTCTATTATTAGTTTATTCCTTCCTTCCTGCATTTAAATGTGCTGACATCAAGAGTGTGTGCGCTATGTATCTAAATGCACCAGAACATTGGATATAGTCCCAGGCAAGGAAGGGGTTAAAGGTCTCTTCCCTCAATCTCTGCCTGTCACTGCAGCACCCTGGGAATGTTTTCTTTGCCGTGCCTGGCACCTATTGTTCTGTGATAGGTATGATCAGAGTCCTCAGGGATCTGCTGTGTGCCAGATCTCTGAGGACTCTGAACTTACATGAGGCAGGAAGAAGAGAGCGATGCCTCCGTAAAACAATTTAAAGGAAACCTGTCGTGAGAACAAATGCAGGCAGCAATTGCTTAGCTCTCCTTCTGAAAAATACCTGTTAAAAGGATGCAGAGCTCCTGTGAGTTCTATATCTCTTCTGACTGCATGCTTGTTCCAGCTCCATGATGTAGAACAGCAGTAGGCAACCTCAGCTGTGAAGAAACTACAAATCTCATCATGCCTTATGTTTGTGGCTGACAAGAGTCTTGCAATGCCCCTGTTACTTGTAGTTCCACAACAGCTAGAGTACAGAGGTTGCCTACCCCTCACATAGACAGTACTGAGGCCACAAAAATAGCATTTTCAAAAAGAAAGGTCAGCAATGATGGCTTCATAGAGTGTCCTATAGTTCAATCAATGTGGTTAATACCTGTAATATTAGTCTATCACCAGGTTACAAAAAGAAACCTCCACTTGCAGTGGGGATGCACCCCCTCTGCATGGGTTAATTGCTTGGGTTTGTCTAGGGGTATTGTGTAAAGGACTTCCTGTAAAAAAAACTGCTTTTTCCTTGTGCGGTCTTGTCCCCGCCTCCTCCTGTAGTTTTCTACAGGCAGCCTGTAATTTTTGGGAGTTTGCTGGGTCCCTCCCACAGCTCTGATCTCTGCATAGGCTATGTGCAGCACAGTGATGATGTGACTGCTACTTTTGCAATGTAATATGGGAATGACATAAAGTGGATTGATATGCTTTGTGGCTATTGAGGAATACAGTATATACAAATTGTGCTTTGCCTGGAGTTTAGCTTTATTAAACCAAAGGAGAGCAAATAAGAGAAGTTCATTGTTAAGATTTACATAGACTTTAATTTGAGCCGGGAATCCAGCTTTCATTGTATAAACAACATATTTTGATATCCGATCTTACCTTTTATGGTAGGGATGCACCGATATCAGTGCCGATACTGGGCATTTTCATGAGTACTTGTGAAAATGCCCCAATACTAAGCGCCCATAACGGCACTTTAAATGTTAAAACCTAAGCTTGCGTTGTAAAAAGGTGCCAGGTGCCCTTCACAGGAAGGCTGACAAGGTCCCCAGTAAGGTCTCGGCTGCCTTCCTGTGAAGCACGGCGCTTTTTTAAAGAGCCGACTGAAAAACCCCTTACCACCATAGACCCTACACAGCCACCTGAGAGACCGCACAGCCCACCATAGACACCGCACAGCCCACCATAGACCCCGCACAGCCCACCATGGACACCGCACAGCCCAGCATAGACCCCGCACAGCCCACCATAGACCCCGCACAGCCCACCATAGAACCTGCACAGCCACCTGAGACCACGCACAGCCTCCTAAGACCACACACAGTCTTCTGGGACCCCACACAGCCATCTGAGATCCTCCGCCGGAGACATCAAGGCAGCACCCCGGAGCAGCACAGAGTATATAGGTTCATAGTATTCTGCATTGATGTATAATGCATTGCTGACATTTGTAGTCCTCTATAGCCGTTGCCCTTCGGCATTGCTGTATGATGTATTGCTGGGATTTGTAGTCCTCTACAACTGATGGTATTATTCTGCATTGCTGTATAACGTATTGCTGGGATTTGTAGTCCCTCTACAACTTGGGAGTCAGTGTGAGAACTACCAGGGGCACATCGTTTGCAGCTGTGACCGGGGCCCTGGCACTTCACCACCTACCTAAAATCATTAGTCTGTATTGTTTTAGAAAAATGTCCCATGACACTAAAATAAAAGGTATCGGTAATTGGTAACGGCGAGTACTTGAGGAAAAGTATCGGTCCGGAGAAACGGTATCGGTGCATCTCTAGTTATCACTAGGCTGACTTTGTTCTTAGCACCCTTTCGCCCCGTGGCATGATGAACGGTCTTACCTTCAATGTGTACACCCCCATTCTGCCGGGGACTTTGTAGAACATGCACTCGTCCCCCCGGGAGTTGGTATGCAGCATGGCATTGAGGCAGGCCAGAGGGGAGGTGCCGCTGAAAATAAGAACAAGATCACATTATTAAATGCCTAGACATTAGTGATGGGCCCGGGCGTGTTCGCAGCTCCACGTGCCGAAGCCCGCCGGGATCTGACAGCGCCAATCACAGGCACTGAGACATTTCCCGATCTCTGCAGCTGCGGATCGGGAACATGTCTCGGTGCCTGTGATTGGCGCTGCGGCGCTGTCAGCTTCCGGGCGGGCTCGGCACGCGGAGCTGCGAACACGCCCGAGCCCGTCACTACTAGACATGACATGGAATCTACATTAGACTAAATGGGCCGCCCTTTCCCTGTCTTGGCCAAAGCTCCCTCTAGTGGCCCCTGGGGGCAACGTCTTCCTCAGTGCAGCAGGATGTATACATGAAAAATATATATATTTCTCCGTTACTGTCAGAAAGTTCCCCTCACTTCCTGTCTGATGAAACCATTGCCAGCCGAACAGGAAGTGAGGGGATATCTCACTCTAAAGGAGCCCCCGGATAGCACTAAAAATCCAACAGTGGTTCTAATCCCTCCCCCAATGTATCCCAAACGAAAATCAAGTTTTTGGCTTGACGTACACTTTAAATAAAGTCCAAATAAAGTTGTTACCTGTGAAGAAGGAAGAACATACTCTCCGGCTGCCTGCACTGCACACTGTCAATGTGTAATGTGATATAGAGCGGTATACTACAGGACGTACAATGTTTGCTCTCTGCGTCCTGCCTGCAGCCCGTCACTGCTTTGCATGACAAGCTTCTCTCCTCTTCTCACTGCTTTGCATGCTCCCCTGGAACCCCACCATGGCCTTACGTGTGCCCTTCAGCTTGCGATAGGACACATGGGCTTTGATATCAAGGCACTGGGGGTGAGGGACCATGTACCCCTGGCATGAGCAATCATGTGATGTGCAGTGCATGCTCTTCAGCCTGGGACGGCTCGTGCATGTGCTTTGTTAGCAAGGCACCACGAACTCCTGACTGTGGGCGGTCATGTGCGACCTACCGGACTCCCACTTGAGTGGGGAAGGGGCACCCACTTTGTTATCAAGGCACTGGGGGTGAGGGACCATGTACCCCTGGCATGAGCAGTCATGTGATGTCCAGTGCATGCTCTTCAGCCTGGGACGGCGCATGCATGTGCTTTGTTAGCATGGCACTAGGGATACCTGAACACTGACATGGGGTGTAATTTCAGGTGTACAGTGCTCCCACTTCAGTGGGGAAGGGGCATGCGCATTCTTAGCAAGGCGCTGGGGATGAGGGACCATGTATTCTGACAGAAGCAGTCATGTGATGTCCAGTGCATGCTCTTCAGCCTGGGATGGCGCATGCATGTGCTTTGTTAGCATGGCACAGGGGATACCTGACGTGGGGGGTCATTTTAGGTTTACGGTGCTCCCACTTCAGTGGGGAAGGAGCATGCGCATTGTTAGCAAGGCACTGGGGGTGAGGGACCAGGTACCCCTGACATGAGCAGTCATGTGATGTGCAGTGCATGCTCTTCAGCCTGGGACGGCACATGCATGTGCTTTGTTAGCATGGCACTGAGGATAAGGGACTAGGAACACCTGCCGTGGGGGGTCATGTTACGCTTACAGTGCTCCCACTTCAGTGGGGAAGGGGCATGCGCATTGTTAGAAGGCACTGGGGATGAGGGACCATGTACTCCTGACAAAAGCAGTCATGTGATCTCCAGTGCATGCATGTGCTTTGTTAGCATGGGACTGGGGATACCTGAACACTGACGTGGGGGGTCATTTCAAGTGCACAGTGCTCCCACTTCAGTGGGGAAGGGGCATGCACATTGTTAGAAGGCGCTGGGGATGAGGGGCCATGTACTCCTGACATGAGCAGTCATGTGATGTGCAGTGCATGCTGTTCAGCCTGGGACGGCGCATGCATGTGCTTTGTTAGCATGGCACTGGGGATACCTGAACACTGAACACCTGCAATGTTACGCTTACAGTGCTCCCACTTCAGTGGGGAAGGGGCATGCACGTTGTTAGCAAGGCACTGGGGATGAGGGGCCACGTACTCCCAATGTGGATGGTCATGTGACATCTGAAGTGCATGTTCCCAGAACTGGAAGTTCCGTGAAGAGACACAGAGATTGGGGACATATTTTGATGTCCCCAATTTGTTCTCTCTGGAGAAGAGGCGACGAAGGGGGGACATGATCACCGGGTATAATGACATAGATGGTCCATATAAAGAGCTTGGAGCCAAATTATTCACGTTAAGGTCGCTGCAAAGGACAAGGGGGCGCTCTTTGCGTCTGGAGGAAAAGAGGTTTAAAGGAGAACTACGGGGTCGGGGCTTTTCCCATAGTTCTCCTTAGTGTAACGGGAGGACACAAACTAGCGTCCTCCCGTCACCCTAAGCTCAGTATATAGGGAGCTACAGCTCGCGGTATACTGAGACTGACAGCTGGCTCTGCCTATCTAGAGGCTGTCCCCGCCCCCTCCCCCGTCCGTTCCGACAGTCAGCACTGGAGGATCGGAGCAGGGAGGGGGGAATCCAGCCCCTCCCCTGCCGTGACAGGATCGAGAGGTGAGCGAACGCCGGTATGTGTTCTCTCACCTCCCGATCTACTGAGCCGACCTGCGAACTATGAGGTGAGTGAAAAGCACCTCCCCCTCATAGTTCTCCTTTAACCTTTGCATACGGAAAGGATTCTTCACAGTTAGAGCTGTGACAACGTGGAATAGACTCCCCCAGGAGCTGTTTCGAGCGAGCTCGGTTACTTCCTATAAAAAACATCTGGATGTATTCCTGAGTGCACAGAATATTACAGGATATCGAGTTCTTAGAGGTATATTAAGCATCAGAGATTGTTGATCCCGGGAATATCCGATTGCCTTATGGGATCAGGAAGGGATTTTTTTCCCCCACATTCCCCTCTCACCGATCTGCCAGCGCTGATTGGCGGAACGGACGGGGGAGGGGGCGAGTACAGCTGGCTCTGCCTCTAGATAGGCGGAGCCAGCTGTCACTCACGCAGCTGGGCGGATCCAGACATCGATGTCGGGATCCGCTTCAGCTGCGGCGTCTCAGTATACCGCGAGCTGTAGCTCCCTATATACTGAGCCTAGGGTGACGGGAGGACGCTAGTTTGTGTCCTCCCGTGACCCTTAGGAGAACTATGGGGAAAAACCCTGACCCCGTACTTCTCCTTTAACATAAAAAAAGAGGAGGGCCTAATGCTAATCTAATACAGGGCACGGCTGTGACGCGGAGGTCGGCGGGTAGAACCACTAAGCTTTGCAGGGAGTGGGGGGGGCACAGGAGATGGACACCCCCTGAAGTGTTGGTTCCTGCACAGACTTCGGGGGGACGATCCCTCTGTAATGAAGGAGTTCCGGCAGCGGGGGAAGGAGAGTATTTTGCTTCCTTGGTAACAGGTAACTACGGCATTTGGCCTTTATTCAGACTGAAGTGACGGGGGGGGGGGGCCATGAGTCCGATGCGCAGTCCACGTCCTCCGCTCACCTGATCTCTTTCAGTCCTTCTCGCTGGATCACCTGGAGGATTTCTTTGTGGCTCATCGGAGTGTTGTGATATTTCTCCAACACCTGCGGAGAAGACAGGAAACCTCAGTACTGGTCACCCCGCGCGATGGACTCATGTGCGTGCAGGTCTTTGGACACATTTATTTCTTTATTGCAGGCATTTATATGGAGCCGACAATGTACACAGCGCTGCGCGTGCACGCCAGTCCCCGCCCTCGAGGAGCTTACATTCTAAGGTCCCCATCTCGCATGCGCACGGGGGCCGATTTAGACCGGAGCCGATTAACCTTCCGGCATTGTCTTTGGAGTGTGGGAGGTAAACCGGAGTGCCCGGAGGAAACCCACGCAAGCACAGGGAGAGCATGCAAACTCCATGCGGATAATGGCCTGACTGGGATTTGAACCGGGAGCCCCCTAGTGCTGCAAGGCAGAAGTTTTTCCTCTTGCTTTCTATTTATTTCGGGGGGTTTTTCCCCCCTTCCTTCCGATGTGTAAAGTCACCTGATAAAGTTCACTGCCGATCTGGTGCGGTGATGAGGCGGAGGTGGGGACTGTGCTGTGCAAGTGCACAATACAGCGCAGGAGATCCTCCATCTGGATGGCACGATGGGGGTTGTGTGGCTGCATTTCTTTAGTAAATATGGAATATCATTTTTGGCTACCATTCGGAGGTGAAAGGGTTAGTTAGCTGTGTGTCTCCGGTGAGCTATAAGCTGACCACTCAGAGCTACAACTAAGTCAATTACAATCCATGATGGAAAACGTTGTCAACATTTTTCCATCATCGATTAGTTGACTTTCGATTAGTTGGCCTGCTCGGTGCTCCACACACGCCGCTTCTCTCAGCTCAGACCCCGTTCGCCGGTACCAGACCCGCCACCCCGCCCGTCCGCATCCACGATCGGCACAGGGATGAGGGGAGAAGAAGAAGCAAGGAGGAGCAGGCATGGGGTGGACGACGACACAGCCGCGGACAAACAGACCCGACCTCGGGACTGTCTGTCCGCAGGTAAGCCTGCACTTTCCCCCCACATATTACTGTATAATGTATTGCTGGGATTTGTAGTCCTCTATAGCTGATGGTACATTGCGCTTTATATTATACAGAGCAATGTACCATCAGCAATAGAGGACTACAAATCCCAGCAATACATTATACAGCAAAGCAGAATACCACCAGCTATAGAGGACTACAACTCCCAGCCATACATTACTCAGCAATGCAGAATACCACCAGCTATAGAGGACTACAACTCCCAGCCATACATTACTCAGCAATGCAGAATACCACCAGCTATAGAGGACTACAACTCCCAGCCATACATTACTCAGCAATGCAGAATACCACCAGCTATAGAGGACTACAACTCCCAGCCATACATTACTCAGCAATGCAGAATACCACCAGCTATAGAGGACTACAACTCCCAGCCATACATTACTCAGCAATGCAGAATACCACCAGCTATAGAGGACTACAACTCCCAGCCATACATTACTCAGCAATGCAGAATACCACCAGCTATAGAGGACTACAACTCCCAGCCATACATTACTCAGCAATGCAGAATACCACCAGCTATAGAGGACTACAACTCCCAGCCATACATTACTCAGCAATGCAGAATACCACCAGCTATAGAGGACTACAACTCCCAGCCATACATTACTCAGCAATGCAGAATACCACCAGCTATAGAGGACTACAACTCCCAGCAGTAAAACATTATACATACAGTGTATAATGTATTGCTGGGATTTGTAGTCCTCTATAGCTGGTGGTATTCTGCTTTGCTGTATAATGTATTGCTGGGATTTATAAGCCTGCACTTTACACAGCAATACCACCTCTTGGGAGGAGTTATGCAAATATCAACTTACCGTGACGGTGTCAGCCTGGAGGAGTGGGCGTTTCCTAAGCAGCCTGTATTTGCATGCAGACCCCCCCTAAGCCACGCCCACGTGCGATGCTGAGCCTCCGTGATTGACAGAACTCGAATCGAATGAATGAAAGGGGCGGGGCCAGTCATGCTGGGAAGGAAAAAGTTAGATGATGCTGGGCGTCCTCCAGCCAGGAAATGAGGCGGAGCTCTAACTGACTTGCTGCAGCTTCTGATGCACATTGCGAGGAGCTCGCCCCCCAAATTCCGAGGCCGAGGGCCGGAGTTTGGCCATTCCTTGCTTCAGAGTGTATGTTGGATGCAGTATACCTCTGTCAGCTTTTTACCTCCATTCTGGGCTGCCTTGGAGAGATTTCCCCTCACTTCCTGTCCTGCTGACCATGATTTAACCAGACAGGAAGTGAGGAGATATCTGAAACAGAGACAGAGATGGAAATACATACCTGGCAGGGGTTGTATAACCTCTCCCTACGGTACTATAGAAAAGTATTTTTTATTTGTCTGTGTTGTTGTTGTTGGAGATTTCCCCTCACTTCCTGTTTGATAAACCGTTGTCAGCCAGACAGGAAGTAAGGGCAAAAGAAAAAGTGTTGTGGCCGGACGTAGAAGAGAAGATCGTTCCAATCTACAACTTTCCATGAACATCCAACTCCGCTGACTGACAAGAAAGTTCAGGCAAGGGGACGTCCGCGGTGGTCAGGTTGGGCCTAAAAAATATACGAACGTTCCCCTATACCGGGGGAAGCCGAACGTCGGCCCCTCAGCATGCGGAGATACTACAAATCACATCATGCATCCGCCTCTGAGAGTCATGCCTGTGTCCTGCAATGTCTTGCAATCATCACCTTCAGCTGTCCACAGTGTTTACAGATGTATACATAATATCCCATAGACTTCTGATATCATAGAAGATTATCGAATGCGCTGGAGTTACAGGAGGGTTCAAAGAACACTTGTTGTAATGTGTAAAATAAAGATAGGGGTCTCTGGATAATACCGGGTGGCCCTTTTATTTATGTATACCAGATACAGTGTATGATTTATAGGAGGGTACTTGAGAAGTATATACAGGAGTATACATTTGGGTACGGGGACACGTGCGGGGGAGGAGTGCGTCCACAATACGGGCAGGCTGTGTGTGGGGAACACGTACCTCGGGGGCGGGGCCAATGCCACTCTGCCCGGCACAGGATGTGGTTCCTTCAAGGACGGCCAACAACGGAACGACTTTTACTACATAGAGCCCGCAGCGCAGCCCCCCCGGATACAACACGCTGCACATCCGTGATCATAACACGCCTGCTTCATACCACATACATGTTCTCTCTGTCGACGATCGCGCGTCGCATTACATGACGGAGAACACAAAGGGAGCCGTGAGACGGACGTGAAAACCGAGCATGCCGAGCTGACCGGAGAGGGGCCACAGCATGCCGAG